AACACTGATGGGGAAACAGGGCCATGTGCCAAATGTTAGGCTCTGTACTTGGCACTTGTAGGGCCAGGAGTGAAAAAAACAAAGACTCAGTTGGCTAGAATTCTTGCTTCAGCACAGTCCAGGACTGAGCCATCACCGATCCTGATGAACTGAGCCCAAGGCACTGAAACATGCAGCCACTTTCTGTGTGTGAAGTGTTTGACACTCTCTCGACTGAGAGCGGGATCTTGGCTTGGTCTAACCCAGGGTCTAGAAGCACACCAAGAAGCCTAGGCTTTCCCTAGAGGTATTAGCTGCAGCTGTGAGAGCAATGTCTTCATCAAATACCATGCAGACCTCACACACAGTAGAGACCGCAAACGTGCCTGAATGCTATAGGCCTGAGCAAGTTAGGACTCAAACTCCGTGGAGCAGGTGGGTTCTCCTCCTGGCTCTACCAATCAGCAGCAAGGGGTCAACAAACAAACCAGCTTAGGATAACTAAAAAATCAATGTCGGCATAGGACTGGGGATTTTAATACATCATCCTAGCTACTGAACAAAAGTCTGCCTTCAGAGTACTGACCGGAAGAGGAATGTATCTGTTTGTGTTACCAAAGTAAAAAGATGCACGACAGAAGAGGACATGGCGCTGGGCCCAGCGAACACCATCTGCAGGTACTGAAGAATCAGAAAGCCTTTTTTCTATGTTTAACTACTTTAAATTTGTATATTTTATTTGTTTGTCTTCCTACGTTGTTTCTAAATTTAAAAAGCTTTACTTTTTTCTAATTAAAGGTATACATGCATATGATTAAACATTCAAATATAGAAGTATTATTAAGAAAAAAGTTAACATTATCCAATTTATTACTTACCTTCCTATGGCTGCTGTAACAAATTAGCACAAACTTAGTGGTTTAAAACAACACAGATTTATTGTTTTACCATTCTGGAGGTCAGTAGTCTAAAATTGGTCTAAATGGGCTAAAATCAAGATGTCAGCAGGGCTGCATTCTTTCTAGAGGCTCTCAATTCACAAGTTCCAAGGACTAGGATGTGGACATTTTGGGGAGGCACTATTTTACCTACCACACCCATAATTTCACTGACCAGTTATTTTAGTAAACAATTCTTCTCAGACCATTTTCTATACATATGTATATACAGATATACAATAAGTCCTCACTTAATGTTGTCGACAGGTTCTTGGAAACGTCACCTTTAAGCAAAACGGTGTATAAGAAAACCAGTTTTACCACAGGCTAATTGATACAAACAAGAATTATGTTCCTATGGCGTTTTTCTGGTCGCAAAAACATCACCAAACTTCTAAATAAAGACCAAAGTGCTTCTAATATTAAACCTGAAATAAATTTCAGCTGTATATACAATTAAGAAAGATTAATAAAAACAAATAAGAAAATTATTTACCCACTTATTCCAGTTCAGTGTCATGGGTAGCCAGAGCCTCTCTTGGTAGCTCAGGGTGCAAGGTGGGAACCAACCCTGGACAAGACAGCATTCCCTGGCAGGGTGCACTCACACACACTCACACATAGACTGGGACTCTGTAGACAGGCCAATTTACCTAAAATGTGCATCTTTAGGATGTGGGAGGAAACCAGAGTACCTGGAAGAAAACCCATGCATACATGGGGAGAAAGTGCAAACTCCACACACCTGGTGGCCCCGGTGGAAATCAATTTTTTTTTCTCATCAACCTTATAACAAAACGATGTTGAATGAAATGATGTTATTCAAGGACCTGCTATACTTACATACATCCCTGTAGATATATGGATTTGTAAAAATTGAATATTAATTGAATATTATACCTTTCTTTTTGCACTTGCTTTTTCCACTTTATATGTGTGTGTACATGTACATTTCTAACAGTTATTTTTAATAACTACCATATTATTACTTTACCATTAAATAATGTTTAAGTATCTACCACGTGTCAAGCACAGCATTAAGTGCTCACTTAATTTAACCCTTTCAACAATCCTCTGAACTAAGAGCCGCTATCACCACTACCATCCTTTTAGAGCTGGGACACTGGCGGCATTAGTGGGAAGGCTGTTTCAGGAGACACTCCATCCAGTCAGTGGTGAAACTCTTTTAAATCCACCAGAACCTGTGCCCCCAACCACATGGTGGCCTGCCTCCTAGGTTGTTCCACTGCATGGATGTCCCATACCTTACTTAAAAACAGTGTCCTACTGTGGGTCATTTGGGCTGTTTGTTATTTTTCATTTTTTAAAATAGAACTGTGGCCAAGTGCAGTGGCTCATGCCTGTAATCCCAGCACTTTGGGAGGCCAAGGAGGGAAGATCACTTGAGGCTAGGAGTTCAAGACCAGCCTGGGCAATATAGCAAGACCTCATCTCTACAAAAAGTTTTAAAAATTATCCAGGTGTGGTGGCTCACACCTGTAGTCCTAGCTACTCAGGAGGGTGAAGAAGAAGGATCCCTTGAGCCCAAGAGTTCAAGGGTACAGTGAGCTATGACTGTGCCACTGCTCTCCAGCCTAGATGACAGAGTGAGACTCTGTATCAATAAATACATAAATAAATAAAGTTCATAACTATATCCTTGGATATACCTATAATTATTTCTTTAAGAACAATTCTTAGAAGTATTACTGTATGCTAAGGCTCCTCAGGTGAATTCCCTAATTGTCCTCCAGATAAGTTATAGTAATTCAATTCTCAGTATCAATACCTCGAATTATTATTTTTAAAATCTTAATAATATAATGATGAAATGGGCATATTATTTTTTTTCTTTGAATGCTAATGAGTTTAACATCCTTTCAAGATGTTTCTTGGAATTTTTTTTCTTTTATGAAGTGTTTGTTCATGTTGTTTGCCCAGATTTCCATTTCAGAACTAATAAAGTTCCTTTTGAAAAGGATGGGTTAAATTTTGGAAGGCGCATCCCATGTGAAAGGAACCATGAGACAAGGGAGAAGCTGGACATTTCTCACAAAGCATGTTCAGGGAAAAGAAAGTTTTGGGGATAAGAAGAGAAATAGAGCAATATAAAAGTCCAGAAAATCTATAACAAATCCAATAAGTGGTGAGGACACGAATGCCCCCTTAGGATTAGCCTTCATTCATAGACAATGGAGAGCAATTTGATCCAAATGAGGTGATGAATAGGAAGAATATTCTGGTGAATACAGATGGCTTGAAGTAGCCCAGTCTAGACATGTCTTAAAAAGAGGAATTTGGCCGGGCGCGGTGGCTCACGCCTGTAATCCTAGCTCTCTGGGAGGCCGAGGCGGGCGGATTGTTTGAGCTCAGGAGTTCGAAACCACCCTGAGCAAGAGCGAGACCCCGTCTCTACTAAAATTAGAAAGAAATTAACTGGACAACTAAAAATATATAGAAAAAATTAGCTGGGCATGGTGGTGCATGCCTGTAGTCCCAGCTACTCGGGAGGTTGAGGTAGGAGGATCGCTTGAGCCCAGGAGTTTGAGGTTGCTGTGAGTTAGGATGACGCCACGGCACTCTAGCCCGGGCAACACAGTGAGACTCTGTCTCAAAAAAAAAAAAAAAAAAAGAGGAATTTATCACAGGGACTATTATAAGAGCTATAGAAGCCAAAGAAGAAGTAGGTAAAGAAGATCTCAGAGATCAGATCCCCTGTATGTGCCCACATGCTCACATTTAGTGCTGAGCAGCTAGGGACTGCTGGAAGCGCTGGAGCCCACTCCTGCTACCTCTGTAGCCACTAAAACTCCTGGAACCTGCAGTCAACTGCAGCCTCAAACTACCACTCCTGGAGACAGGAATAGAATGGTTTCTTGGCCTTCTCATCTCCCACCAGTGTCTCCCATTGGTAGAACTTACCCAGAAACCAGCTGGCAAGGGTGTTTGGGAAATGTAGTTTCCAGGCTTCCTCTTGCTCCTACCACACAGAGGAGAACACAGAAGGGCAGGAACAGATCTGAATACCAACAGACCAAATCCAGCAAAAAAAAAAAGAGTACCCAGAATGGCTCTCCCTGGACGCAGGAGGCTTGGATTCTAGAGCTAGTGCTGCCATTGATGTGCTGTGGCCCCTCCGAGGCACTGTAGCACAGTGGTTCATGGCGTAGCTCAGTGTCCTTATTTGCAAAGTGGGCAATAATACCTACCACGAAGGATTATTGTGACGGTTAAATGGGATACTGAAAGTATTTAGAATAGTGCCTGGAACAAAATAAGCACTTAGCAACTGATAGCTATCATTACTGTCACTATCATTCTGATTTCAATTTTGCCATCTGTAAAGAAAAGTTAAGAAGGGAAGGGTTAAGTCATTTTTGCTTCTCTCTAACCAGCCAGAGGAAAGAGATCCAACAGTTACACTCAGACCGAGCCTGGCATTGAGCTGGATCTTAGAGATGCAGAGAAAAAGAAATACTATCCTGTCCCTGTCATCAAAGAGCCCCCAGTAGGATGGGAAGACAGGCAAAGACAGAAGAAAATCACATGGTTCGAAGCAAAATGTGCTCGGTGATAGAGGATATACAGGGAAAGTTCTAAAAGAGTACAAGGGACAGGTTTTGTAGCATAGTAGAAAGACTTATACAGACTCCTCTTTAAATCCAATATTGTCCTCTGTGGCCTTGGGCAGTTTAGCTAGTCATTAGCGCCTCAGTTTATTTGTCTGTAAAAGCGGAGATGATGAAAGAATATGCCTGACAAAGTCAAGATTAAGTATATAAATGTCCTCCTGTAGCACCTGGCACAGAGATGGGTTCAAAAATTATCATTATTATGATTCCAGTGGTCCACGAGAAAGGCACGAGGCCTGAATTAAAGAAATGAAAAGGGAAAGAGGGAAAGGTCTGCTCAGCAGGGAGTCAGCCTTCCAGGACCCCTGAGTTCTAGTTAGAGGAGAACCAAGGAGGTACTCGCCACAGGTGCGGACCACGAGGGGGCGCCCGGGGACCTCGGCGTCTTCGTTTCCCGTGGCAACCGGCCGTCTTGGCTCTGGCCTCAGAGGCGCCCCGCCTGAGCAGCAAGATGGCCCTGAGCTCCTGGACCCCAAAACGGGGGTTTGGCGAGAAGGTGGTACGGGAGGCCGCCGTCACTACCGGCCCTTCGCTGGAGTTATGCACCTTCCCCTCCACCCTGGGCTCCCCGATCGCGGCCGCCGCGCTGGAGCAGCTCTTGGTTGTGGGTGAGAGGCCCCCTGGGCACAGGGTGGGACGTCCCTCAGAGGCTATGACGGGCGGGAACCCTCAGCCAGCACTCTCCTCCCAGAACCCAGAGCTTGTCTCCTTGGAGGCTGGGGAGAGAGAGAAGCGGCGGGGTGGGACCAAGAGCCCAGCTCTCCCGCTTTAGTGCCGCCTGGGTGACTTGGACTAGCTCGCACTAGTAGCTGGTGACAAATCCCGGACTCCCAGGTCACTGCCCTTTGCTGGCGACCTGAGTACCCACCTGCATTTAGGCTATGCATTCGATTTCAGTTCTCTCTCCCTGCCTTTCCTTTGCAAGTTCATTTCCTCCCACGTTTTGCCATGGCAAACTGGAGAATTTAACATGCAAATAGGAAAGGAAGGGAGTGTTTAAGAGGCTCCTGTTGTATCAGGCAAGGAAAATTAGATGTAAACGGATGTTTAGGAGATTCTAACAGAAAATAACCTTGGATGGAGCCGGGTTAAAATACTTCTTCAGTTAGAAAGCTGAACCTCAAGTTACCTAAGTTTAAGGTAAGATAGTCTAAGAAGGGCATTTCTTGTTCAATGCAAGAATCATTTAGGCTAAGAACAAAGCATCTCATTACTTCACTATAATCATCTGGTAGCTTCAAGATAATCATGTTGATTTATGTTACACTGTTACTGTTTGGGGAGAATTTCTTTTTTCCTTCTTAGACAAACTAATTTAATTTCACAATTCTTATCAGATATGCTTGGACAAATATCACGAAGAGAGTTAAATTATTGAGACCTAAATTATTCACATATATCCAAGGTCATTGTCAATGATAGAACTAGGACCTTGAACTCTGTTCATGCTTGATTTCTAAACCAGCATTTTCCTTCAACTCTAGTGCTTATGCACAAACACTGTTTCTCCTAATGATGTCTGGATCCTCAGAAAGTTTTTCGTAAGAAAAAAATTTCATGAAGCCTTCTTGCCCTGAGTGTGAGTTTTAAAATTTGTAACTCTCCAGCCCATTTGCAAGCAGGAAAAGCTGTGTTCATTTACTCCATAAAAAAAAAGCAATGTCTGTGCCTCTAACACACTTCCAAACTCTGATTTTCACTTGGTTTGAGAGCTTAGTTCAGGAAGAGTGTTCAAATTCTCTGGAACTAAAGGTAGACGTTGCTATTTACTCCTCTGAGAGAAGGGTATGGCTGTGAAGAACATGGGCCCTGGATCACACCACTTGGGTTTGAATTAATACTCTACCACTGATCAGGTCTATGACTTTGTACATTTGATATGACCTCAAAAGTCTTAAATTTCTCACCTATGAAATGGGAATCATTCTAAGGTCAGAAGAATCAATTTGGACAATACATTAATTTATTAAATAGGTAAAATGACAATCACATCAAACTCCCGTCACACATGAAGACTCGGGCCTGGGATCCATTTAGAGTCCATGTAATGCTGTGGTAATAAAGCCAACATAAGTAGAGCTTCCTTGTTATCTCTTCTCGTCCATGTATCCTTTCTTTGTCCTTCCTTCTTCCCATTCTTTCTGTGTCTTCATTACCTTTACCAACATTTGCAAGCCTCTCTTCTCAGGTGCTTTGTATTTACGGAGTACAGGAGAAAAGGAGATGTCAGAAGGTATGGTGATGAGCAAAAAGGGATAGAAACTGTCTACTTCACACCTACCAGTTTTACAAATATTTAGTTTCATCCCATGTCTCAAATTTTTGCATGGAAATAAAACTGACATAATGGATTTTTTCCAACAATTAATTCAATGTGTGTTTTTGGCAAAATATTATATTTCGTATATATGTGTATGTATACATATGAAACCATTTTTAAACCTACATTATAGGCATGTTAGATTTATCCCTTTCATAAATATTTATTAATTTTTTATCCTATTCCATACAGATCCCTGTCTCTTTTTTTTTTAATACCATAAGAGATGCAAAGATGACTCTTAAAAGGAGTTTGTCCTGAAGGAGCATAAAATACACATCTAAATTAGAATACTATGAAACAGGAAATAACAAGTACAAAAGAAAAGCACAATAGGAATTCAGAAATAGAAGATGTAACTTTCAGCTGAGTAAGCATTTGAGTTAGATTATGGAGGGTTATGTACGGTTTGGACAGATAAGTGAGATCTTAATTTTCTAATTTTTTTTTTCAGAACAATCACTGCAAAGTGACTATTTTAAATGCAATGAAGAAGTCAGGACCTTTCTTAAGAACATTGCTGTAGCTGTTAAAAAATTGGTATTGTATTGTCTATAAGAGCTATTTTTTCAATCTTCCCTATATTTCTTCAACCTTCCCTATATTTCTTCATCATATTTTCATTTGGCACCAGCTCTGTTCAAAGTATTAAGTAGATGAATAGGGAAGATATTTACCCTGAATTTAAAAATGTTTTTCTCTCAATTCAGTAAGTATTTGCCCAAGTGTTGATCAATTGTAAATTGTTGCCTGATTTTCCATGCAGAAAACTGAATTATGATCCTGTGCTATGGATGAGGGCAAGCCCATTTAGGAAAAGCAGCACAGGTGATAACAGAGCTCAGTTAAGAGGTGGGCCACATGGGCAAATGCTTGGGACACCAATATGTAAGCATTGCTTAAAACAAACAAACATACAATCTCTGGAATAAATTGCTTGCATGGTGCCAATTAACTCGGTTGTCTATATGCAATTCCTTGCATAACTGGTGAAAGATTATTTGACATCTGTTCCACTGAAGTAGACCGTGCGGTTAGTGAAAATAGACAGAAAATCTTTCAATTACACTAACCTGGTCCCTATAAAAGACATATTGAAGAAATAGTTAAATAATTTCCTTCTGAGGCATCAGAGACATCTCT